TTAAGCTATTCAGTAACATTTTCTCCTTCTCTTAAGAGGAGTTGCTATTCTAAGCAGAACCCAAAGACCTAAATCATGACAGTTTAGTCAAGACAAAAACTCATCCTTATAATGAGGGGTGGGCAAGCTAGTGCACCCTGCGGGAACATTCCTGTTGGCTCTTCTTGCTCCTTGTAAATCTATGGGTATGATGTACTGGGGTAAAGGAACCCTGGCTGGTCTTGGGCAAGCTACACAACCTTAAGATTTGTAGTCCTATATATATGGAGGGGACAAAGACCCATACAACATCACAAATCTATTTAGAGAATCAAATGGGAAAATGTAAATAAAAATTTTTTGTAAATCTTAACTGCTAGAGAAATGTCAATGATCATTATTCTTCTCCCTGACAATTGGAGAAATCCCCATAACACCATAAATTTAGAGCTGGCAGCCAGGTGGCACAGTGGATAGAGTGCTGAGTCTGGAGTCAGGAAGACCTGAGTTCAATTTTAGACTCAGACACTTACTGTGTGATCCTAGGCAAATCCTTTAACTTTTGTTTGCCTCAATTTCCTCAACTGTAAAATGGGGATAACAACACCAACTTCCTCACGGGGTTGTTGTGAAGATCAAATGAGGTGAAGCATATAGTAGGTGCTGCATAAATGCTTAGTTCTTTTCCCTTGCTTCCCTTTCCCTGAAAGAGTCTTAAATGATTACCTAGTCCCACCTCTTCGTTTTATGGATGAGGAAACTAAAGCCAAGAGAGGGGAAGTAACGTGCCCAAAGTCACAAGATGTGGAAATAATTTGCTATAAAAAGTAATCTGTGAAAAACTTCCTGTTGCCTTCCTTTATTTTCATCGGGGATACTATCACTACATGCACAATCTGTTATTATAAATGTTCAATAAGATATATACACATATATCTCAGTATCTTAACTCTTTACCTATCATCCATATCTATCTATCTGTCTATCTGTCTATCCATCTACCCATCTATCTATCTATCTATCTATCTCTGTGATCCAATGATAATAGGAGTATTCTTGCCACGCAGGCATATGGGTTAATAGCTGCTAATGTCTTGGTATGATCCATGACTTTTCCTATTCTTTTATAATCTTCTCCCTTGAGATCTCTTGAAAATAGTGCATTACAAACTGTCCATTTCCAGTACACATAATCTTCTGTGTTTATTTGGTTAGGCCTAGTTGCATTTTCCATCTTCATCTTTTAAAGTGACAATTGCCACTTCCTCATATAGTACTTGGTTACCAAGATAGTTGAGTCCAAATGTAGTAGTTCCAATGTGGTAGCTGATAAGAAGAGATCACCGTAGAAATTCTGGTAGATGTTTTATCATGTCTATTGTCCTCCCTGTAGTTTAACACGTAGATACTTTTAGGATGATTTTGCTTATCTCATCCCGACTTTTATAAAGCCTTCTATCTTTCTCAATTGTTTTTCAGTGTCTCGTTTGGTGAGACTATGTGTAATCTTCTGTCATCTCATTCTGGAAAGTTTTGCAAATGAGCTTGAATTCTAAACCTATGTTGTCCTTGGCCAACATCTTTCTGCTGGGTAAACAGGCAAAACATTGCCTTGGAAATATGGTTTCTAGGTCCTTTGCCTCTTTGTTGTAGTGACTTTCATATAAGCTAAACTGTCATAAGAAATGGTGATAGTCTATATCTTTAGTTTTGATCATTCCCCAATTTTCATAGTTGAAACCTTATTCCAACAGATTATATTGCAGTTGCTATAATTGAACAGAATGCCTTATCTTTATCATCTCTTAATTCAGCCTTGATTTTTATTTTTGTTCTAGCTAATCAATAGATGAGTATTTATTTAGTGCCAATTATGTACTAAGCCCTATGCCAAGCATCGGGAGTATAAAGACAAAAAATATGAAGCAATCTCTGCTCTCAATGATCTAGCAAGTAATTGATGTGATTGTACATAGATGATTGTGAGACTGTTGTTTGTTGTTGTTGTTGTTGTTTGTACTTCATTCTCGAAGAGGGCCGTGACCTCAGGAAGGGGACACCATGACTTACAAGTGAATTGGATCTCAGTGAGGAAGGGCTGTGCAGTCACCAGCCTCACCTTCTCCTCTGGAGCCATATGGGTCCAGTGGCCAGATATAGATCAGGACAAGTGGAGATGGCCCCCTGACTGTGAGATAACTACAACATTAGTAATCAGTTTTCTCTCTGCTAGGCTCAAGTCATTGTGTGTGTCTGTGTGTGATCATGTTTGGTGCATGACATAAATAGCACCTTCCAAGTCTCATTTTAAAGAAAGCATTAATCATATACAGGGTGAGGCTTCTGAATAGTCTCCAAGCAAGGCTTCTTAAAATTCTTGATCCTGAAATATATTTTTCAACATAGTTTTCACTGTTCTCTCCTGTGCCTGAAATGCTGATTTTAGAGAATCTTGTTAAGTATAATTTCCCTGCTTACCCGTCCTCAGCAACAGATGATGTCATATAAGCTGTAATTGTTTTCTGATGGTCTGTTTGCTTATGTTTATCTGAGGACTATGAGGTGAGCTCACTAAGTGTTGCATGGATTGGCATTTCTTCCTGCCAGCTCTTCCAAGGGAGGAGGTAGTATGGAATGGCAGAGGGAGGGCTGGCCCAGGGTTCATATCCTGGCTCTGCCATTTCTGGTGTGACTTTGGGCAAGTCTTTGAACCTCTCTGGGACTCAGTTTCCTCATCTGTAAAATGGACCACATACAGGAGGATTTTCGCTTACTCATCCAAGTTCTTTGTCTGCCCAAGAAGAACCTAAAAGTTGACTTCCATTTAGCTACAACTTCTTTGTGTCTTCTGGCTTCATTTGTAGTGAGAGTGTCAATGCGGATATGATTCAGCTTTGAGACTTGCCCTGGGGCAGATGTGCCCGGATTGGAGAGAAAGTAACTCCTCACCTCAACTCTCTAGAGCTAACCAGGCCCCTATGACTTTCTCTCATCCAGTCATCCACAAGTACACCAGGGCCTAGTCGAGATAGGCATTTTCCAGCAGAACCAGGAGAACGTTGTACACAGTAACAGCCACATTGTGCGATGACTAATATTGATAGACTTAGCCTTTCTCAGCAATGCAAGGATCTAAGACATCTCCAAAGGCCTCATGATGGAAAATGCTATCCACATCCAAAGAAAGAACTATGGAGTTTGAATGCAGATCGAAGCATACTATTCGCTTTTTTTCCCCCTTCTGTTGTGTTTTGTTTCCTCTTTCTGGTGGTTCCTCTTACTGGTTCTAATTCTTACAACATCGCTGATGTGAAAATTGTTTAATAGGAATGTAGATGTATAGCCTATATCAGATTGCACACCGTCTTGGGGAGGGGGGTGGAGAGGGAGGGGGAGAAAAATTTAAAACTCAAAAGCTTATGGATGTGATTATTAGTAAATCAAAATAAACAAATATTAAAAAAGATAGGCATTTTCTATATACCTCTATCTACCCAGAATATACATTACCCCCTCCCACTGAGGAAATAATAATTAACTCAACTTTACTACTATTATGGAGAGCATGACAATCTATCATCCTACGGATTCATTCATAATCTCTGAGAATGATTAGAGCAACCTGGGGTCAGGAAATTTTTTTTAATTTGATAACTATATTTCAATATAATTTGTTTCATTTCTGATCTTATGTATTTTATTTTATGCACTTAAAAACATCATTCTGAGAAGAGGTACGTAGGCCTCACCAGACTGCCAAAGGAATCCATTACATGAAGAAGGTTAAGGACCCTTGGCCTAGACCAAAGCTCCTTTCCTGGTCATCTCTCTGTGATATGTGTTTTATTCTCCAGTAGAATGTATAAGTGGAAGGGGGCAATAAAGGCTCAGGGACCATTTTGTATTTTCATCTGTTTCATGGGTTGCTCTGGTCAAAAATTTAATCTCCTACTCTTAACACTCCTTCTGGTGATGAGCTAAACAAAGTGGGCCCAGGGGATCCTCTCTGTACTTAGCCAGGTTGGCCCTTGGACAGCTGATAAGAGTCTTGCCTGGAACCATACTTGGGAGTCTCAGTGGAACCTGCCAGAGGCAATGTTCTTCTGGTTAAGCCTTTGAAAATTCTTGCCACTTGTATGCCAAAATAAGGTCTGGAGAAGGACCTTCGTTGATTATAGTAGCTTAAATTTTCATGGTTCTTTAGTGTTTGCAAGGCACTTTTATATACCTTCTCTAATTTGATCCTCACAACAGTCCTATGACGTAGATATAATGCAAATATCATATCTCCATTTACAGATGAAGAAACTGAAGCTGAGAGATCAATTACTTATCCATAGTCAGGCAGCCATTAAATGCTAGGCCTAGGACTGGAACCTAGGTCTTCTGACTTCCAAGGATAGTATTCTTTTCATAGAGTGAAAAGATGCTTTTCTATGAATTCTCTACTCATACAGTTCTTTCCTATGCTCTTCTCAGAGTTCACATGGAGTCCTAGGGGCTTGACCCTTGAGATGATGGGATTAGGCCACACCTTCTATATGTCAGTTTACCTTTTGGTCCCTGAAAGTTTCTCCTGGATTAAGCACTAGATCTCTCATAAGTGGCCATCCCCAATTACCTACCCCCTACCCTCAACAGAAGATACAGACCTGGTATGGTTGCAATATGTTAAAATTTTTTATTATCTAGACTGGCTATTCACAGTTATGTCTAACAGGGCAACAGTTTCCTATAATCTCTATCAGCCCAAACTTGGTCAGTTGCACTCCTCTCTCACCCTGCCTAAATTATTCTTTTAATATTAATATTTTAATCCCCTTCCCTTCTTACCCTTACCCCTTCTTACCCTCCCCATATAAGGATATCCTACTTTCCCTCCCCAATCCTAACAATTCCGTGGTTTTAACTAGACACTAGCCTCTGCCTCGCCAATGCTCATGAGCCAGAAACCCATTCTCCATCTCCTCCACTTCCAAGATGCTCTTTCTGTCCAGCGCATGGCGTCTCCTCTGCTGAGCTCAGTAGTATGTCTCCCTCTCCACCCAGCCTATTAAAGAGAGGAAGCCAGGGTTAACTAGGGTTAGCAATGCCTGGTGAGAGTGACTCTTCTGGGCAGCTTGGGTCAGCAGGGAGTGCCTGGAAAAGCAGGGATGGGAGAGCAAGATGGAGGCAAGGAATAGGGTTATAGGCCTAAGGGGCTGGAGCCACAGGACATTGAAGCATGTGTGTGTATGTATTGGTGTGAGTATGTGTGCTATGTCGATTGGCATCTGGTAAGAATATGGTAAGTTGAAGGATCTGAAGCAACGAGACTTGTAATTAGGGAGCTATGAAATAGTGGAGGCAGGTTGGGTCTAGAGGAAGACTTACCACCAGGGTTGTGCCGCAGTATATATCTTCGAATCTCATCATAGATAAAGATAAGTAAAGTGTAGGGGTAAGCACAGAACCACCAGTTTAGTCTATGGGAAACAAGAGTGTCAATAATAAGGTGGGAAATATGTTGATACCCATACACCCTGGTTATCATAAGAATGAGGAAAGCGCAGGGACCGCTGTACCCTTTATAGAACAAGAGAAAAACTCAGAATCTCTTCATATCTCAGAACAATAGCTCAGACCTAGAAAGAACTTCCACATCCTGGGGGTTTAGGGGTGCAGTGCCCCCTTGATATGGAAAATCCATGTAAAATTTTTTGACCCTCCCTTCATACCAGAGAAGTCTGAACTATTGTGGTATTAAAAGATAAAATATGTTGCTATTATACAGGACTATATGTACATTTTGTGCATTTCTGAGTTTCTAAACCTTTTCTGGGTTGTCTGTCGCTTCTGCAAAGCTCCTAAGAAATTTCCATTTAATTGCTTATACCAACCCTCCATATATCGAAACCACAATGGGGAAAGTTGCGATGTGGAAGGAATAATTGTGTACACATGTGTGTGTGCACACACATGTGTGTGTGTGTATGTGTACATGTGTGCACAGAGGGAATCCAGGAAGAGTTAGTCTGGCTGTTACACTGATTTACACTTGTATCTTATGGAAACCAATGTCAAGTTAATCACACCATGCATATATAATATACAGAAAAAGATACAAATACTCCCAGAAGTTTACACACAGAGATATGTACATAGCAACCTACTACTACAAAAAGGCAGCAGGTAGTCATAGACCTTAGACCCATGTAGATGCCTGAAATTAAGCCAAAGAGGGAAAAGGTTAAGAATCAAAGAGAAATAATTTGCTTTGACTTCAATAGGTACAACCACTACTCAATTTTTGATATGATTTGGAATTATACTACATTAATATGACATAATCTATTTTATATTCTATAATTATAGAATATGTATTGTAATTATAAAAACAGTACCAATGAGGAATAGTAACAATCTATGTCTATAATTTCCCTAAAACCCTACTCCCAAGCTTCGCCATGGCATGCCAGGAAAGTGACCTTGGGACCACAAAGGCTGCATCAAGGGAGCACGGCCTCTGGACAGTTCTGCCATGCAGGGAAGGTTGCAAGTATGGTCACAGAACCTCAGAACTTGACAGTTTCAAGTGATTTCAGTGGCTGTCGAGCCCCAACCAGGCTTGGGTACCTAAGGCTCTGTTGTATGCTCTTCTCCTCTCTTTCCAATCTTTGTCTCCCCTGGTGACCTGTCTAGCTCCCATGGGTCTCATGATCATCCCAAATCTAGACAGCCAGCCTTAATCTCTCTCCTCAGCTCACTGTACATCTCCAACGGAGTATTTCAAACTACATATCATGTAGGAATCTCAAATTTATTGAAGATACTATCTTTCCTCCCAAAACCTCCCCATTTTCTGACCTTCCTTATATCTGGAAAGGACACTGCCATCCATCTATTTAACCAGGTTGGCAACTTCAGTGCTAGTTTTGTCTATTTCTAAACAACCTTTGTCTATAAGTTGGCTGACATTAACCTAAGAGTAACTAGATGTTACTCTAGACTTCTCATTCTCATTCACCCTATGTATGCAGCCATTCGCAAAGTCATCTTGTTTCTACCTTTATAACATTTGCAGTATCTATCCTCTTCTCTCTGCTCACGTGGCTACCACCCTAGTTCGGGTTTCCATCACCTCTCTCATGGACTATGGCAAAAGCTTCCTAATTGAACTCCTTGCTTCAAGTCTCTCTTCTTTCCAATTCATTCTCCTTACAGTTGCAAAGTGATTTTTTTGCCAAAGTGACCAACCATCTCACTACTCTAATCGATAAACCCTGAGGACTCCTTACTGCCTCCAGAATTAAATTTAGGCTGCTCCCTTTAGCCTTTAAAGCTTGATCTCAACCTGCCTTTCCAACTTAATTATATATTAGTCTCCTTCCCACACTACAAAATGTAGCCAAGCTGTCCTTCTTGCTTTTCTTTATACATGACACTCTGTCTCCCTTTGCCCTGACTGTCCCTATGCCTATAATGTCACCACACCTTCTCCTCTTCAAATCCCTTATTTACTCCAAAACTTTGCTCAGATTCCACCTTCTGCAGGAAGCTTTTCCTGATCCGTCTCAGATACGGTTGTGCCACCAACCCCCCCCACTCCATTTACATCAAGTTTATTTTCTACATATTTTATGTATGTTTATTTACACGTTTTCTGTCGCAGTGGAATGTAAGCTCCTTGAAGGCAGGGAATTTTTTGTTCATTTTTGTCTTTGCATCCCCAGCACCTATCACAGTGCCTAACCATAGTAAGTATTCAATAAATGCTTATTGTTTGATTTACTGATTGATAAGTAGTCAACCATTCTCTACTTGAAGATTTCCAATGAAGGGAAACTAATCACTTCTCCAGATAGCCCATTCTATTTTTGGACAGCTCTTAATTGTTAGGAAGTTTTTCCTGATATTGAATCTAAATTTTCCTTTTTGCAATTTCCACCCTTTGCTCCTGGTTCTGCCCTTTCAATCAAACAGAATACACTTAATTTTTCTCACACATGACAGCTCTTCAAATACTTGACTATGACTAGCTTGTTCTTCTTATGTATTTTATTCTCTAGGTTATATCTCCTCAGTTCCTTCAACTGACCTGATGGACTCAAGACCCATCATCATCCCAGTTGCCGTGATCAAGGTATTCTCCACATGTCCTTCTTGAAGTTAATGTTAAAAAAGCTTAAAACAAAAAAAAGTTTAAAGAAAACTATACTGTTCAGAACTGAACATAATACTCCAGCTGTGGTCTGCCTAGAGTAGAATATGGTGGAATCACCACTTCTTTATTTGTAAAAACTATGCTTTTGAGTATAACCCAAGGTCACATTAACTCTTTGGCTGCCATATCACACTGCTGACTCACGCATTGTGCTTGAAGTCCACAAAAACACCCTGATTTTTTTTCCTGACAAATTGCTATCTAAACATTTCCCCATCCCACTCTTATCAATCCTGTACTTGTGAAGCTGATTTTTAAAAACTGAAATGTAAGACTGCCTTTATCACTATTGAATTTCATCCTACTAAATTCAGTCAAGATCTTTTTGGGTCCTGACAGTTATCCAGCATGTTATTTAGCTTTCCCAGCTTTGCATCATCTACAAATTTGATGAGCATGTACCTTTATTCAAATCATTGATAAACATGTTAACCAGGACAGGGTCACACCTCCTAACAAGATGCTGTCAACCATTTCATGGCTATTCTGAGTTCAGCCATTCACCCAGTTCTAAACTCACCTAAGTGTATGATTGCATAGTCCACATCTCTCCACTTTCTCTGCGAGAATAACATGACACACTTTGTCAAAAGCTTCACTAAAACCTAGGTAAATTATATCTACAGTATTCCCCTTAGGTACCAGTTTAGTATGTGTCAAAAAAGGAAATAAGGTTAGTCTGGCATGACCTATTTTTGATGAAGCCATGCTGGTTTTTTGTAATATTTCCCTACTTAGATTTCACCAACTGGCTCTTGAATAGTCTATTCTAGAATTTTTCCAGGAATAGAAGTCAGCTCTGTAGCCTGTAGTTTGAAGGCTCTGTCCTATTCCTTTTTTTTTTTTTTTTGAAAATGGAGACATTTGCCCTTCTCTAATCTTGTGGCACCTCTCCTATTTTCCATGATCTTTCAAATATTACTGACAGTAGCTTAGCAATCATATCTGCCAGTTCATTCGGTATCTAAGAATATATAGCTTATCCAGGTCAGTTGAGTTGAATTCATCAAGGGCAACCAGGTACTTTCTTACTAACCTGCTGCTTATATTGGCTACTTAACTCTCTCTTAGTTATTTTGATTTTGTTGTTTCTAGAACAAAGGTCATTCTAGACAGAGAAAATAGGAAAATTAGGAATGAGCAGCGCCTCTTTCCCTGTTATTTGTCATCACTATCCCATCCACCCTAAGCAATGGTCCTATCCCTTCTTTGCTCTTTTTTTTCTCCCAATATCGTAAAAAAACAAAAATCCAACCCCTATTGTCCTTAGCTTCTGTCACCAACCTCAGTTCACTCTCAGCTTTAACTCTCCTAATATAATTTTTACAGGTCTTTGCCATATTCATCTTGTCTGTAGTCCTTGCTTCCATCTTTAAGAAAATTCTTTTCAAAATCTTAAGTTGGTTGGTAAGTTCCCTGTGCATTTACATCTTCAGACAGCTGCTGTTCCCCCCCCACCCCTAATTGGAAATGTTTCCCTTTATGTCTTCAGAATTTAATTCTTGAGCATTTTCTATTCCTTCTGGGTTGACTTCACCAGCAGACTTTAAATCTGTGGGATTCTCCTTACCTTTCCTCTAGATCTTTGAAATCTGCTTTCCTCAAATCTAGGGGACATGGTAGACTAAGGCCAGGTGCCTTCTCCTCTCTCAAACTCTAGGAGTAGTCACTTCCCCCATAGTTCTAATCTTTCCTCCCCAGAAATCAGTTTTTCCCTATTAGTGAGAATTAGCTCCAGAATAAAACACCCCCTTGTTGATTTCTCCACCTTTTGAAGGATGAAATTATCATTAAGGCAAGTTGAGAATTTGTTAGCTCTTCTGTTAGAGGGAGTTCCAGCAGATGTCTGGTTAATTTGAAGTCTGCCATCAATATTACATAATGCCTCTGTGCCAGTCTTGTGATGTTTCCAAAACTGCTCCTTTCTGAAGTACATGCCAATGACAAAATCATTTCTATTTCTTTCTCCACTGATCTTTACTCAAATGCTCTGCATTATGCTTCTCCTTTCTGGTTCCTAGATTTCCTCATGTGAGTATAACTTTTGAATATCTACTACTTTTTTTTAACCTATTCTGTTTCTTTAGAATAAGATAT